AGTTGGTGGTGAAGCTGACACATGACGCAGAGTTGACAACACTTTTTCTTTGGGTTGGTGGTGACGACTCCCCATGGCCTAAGATATACGGAGAATTGTTTATCATATGCGTCGATGTGAGACGCCTTCAAAGGCGTGGAGGTGCTTCTATGCCCAAATATATTACACACACGCGGGATAGGACTTTGGGTAATCCTTTCATATATTTTACTCAAGAAGGTATTAATTATAAGCATGGCGACAGGCTATGTTAACTCACATCCAGGTATGGTTATATATCACGTATATTCATAATAAACTACTGGTCATACTTTCTAGTTTAAGTAAGTATTGTGTTGGTCAAGTGAATTATTTGGTTATATATGTTGAAAATTAAATGTATAGCTTACTAAAATCTAGCTAGTGCATATATGCCATAATGAAAAATATTTATTACTTACGGGGGAACACCCTCATATGGAGGCCGTGGATGAGTTAGGTGTAACTTCGTTTCTTGCCGAGGCCCTACCACCTCTATCCATCCTCCCATCTTGGCGACTTCGGGAGGAATAAAAACCGGTGGATATGAAAGAGCGCTTTCAGGGAAAGCAAAGCTTCAGGTGGATCTTACCATTGGGACGACCAGATGGACGGGTAAGATCGAATTTTCGAATGAGGTTGGAATTTTCTGGATCAGGTAGATCTTTAAGCTTGAAAAGGAGGGTTCCAACCAAATGTTTCCGCAAGTGAAGTGGTTGGGCATTATGGCGGATCTCTAGCTTAAGAAAGGTGGAGTAGGGAGGGAATGGTAGACCAATGACGAAGTGTTCATCCCAAACGGGTTTGGTTGAATTAGAGTTGTCGACTTTTGTGGTATTGCGGGGTTTGTCGTAATTGTAGTTGAACCAAAAGGTGGCGTAAGGTCTCAGATCTCCGTTTCTCCAATTAACATTCTTGAGGTGTTTGGCAGAGATGATCGTGATTTCCAGCTCTGGGGCTGAGCCACCCATGCATATAAACAAATCGGACAATTGAAACTTGAAAGGAGTTAGAGTTCCGAGTATTATTCAGTGCTATTTATATGTACTCACCTTGCAAATTTTATGTTATAAATTACTATATTATTATAAATTATCACTGGTGCTGATTGCATTGCTTCCTTTGAAGTTTTAAGCCGTACAAATTACCTGGAGTTTCGCGCGTGTAACTAAAAAGTATAGGATCACATGTACAATAAAACTATGCTGACCACATCATCTCAAATCACGATTACGGTGGTGCATGTTACAAATGGTATTCCACTCATTCCAATTTAATACATCATACAAGAGTAATTGCTTTTTATATATATATATATATATATATCTATATATATATATATAGATCTATATATATATATATATATATATATATATATATAATATATATATATTGGTGCCTGTGCCACAGAGGGTAATTTAGGTATTGTTATGTTATGCTTTTTTATGCTTGGATTTTCAATGTAAAAACATGAATAAAAAAATAAAATAAAAGTATATACTTATAATCAACAATTAAATGAAAGTCTAATATTTCAATTTTTTTTGCATGATCGGTGTAATCATTCATAGGTATGAACATTGTGATATGATAATTTGCTTGCTTATGTTGTTAAGTGATATGTAGTTTATATACGACACGTTCTTTTATATATATATATATATATATATATATATAATATATATATATATATATATATATATATATATATATATATATATATATATATATATCTATATACTAAATTATAATGCATTTATAAATATGGGCTGCATAAATTTTAAGACTTTTGTCTTAAAAACAAGGAGAAGGGATATGAGTCTTTGGATGAAAAATGAAAGGTCTGGATAGTGATCCGTGTGAATACCTATCAACCTATCAAAATTAAAATTAAGAGTGACTTGGTTACACAAAAGTTAAAGTTAAAAAAATGTGCACCAGTTACAAGAAAACACACGGATCACCCCACTGGCCGTTGATCTGTAGCTCATCCAACAATTTAAACTGAAAGGACACGGATCGCTATTCTTGTTGGTCTACATATCTCTTTATAACCCTCTTCAAATTCATCTCCATTTTTGGCATCTCTAAATCCCTTACTCCCTCTCTCAATCAAAACTAAAAGCCGATACGAACACCCTTTGCCCCTACGACCAAGAATTTTGCTCACTTCATATCTCCGCCGTCTCTTCCCATTCAACATTTTCAATCTTATCCAACATCAATACCAGTTGTCGACACACCGATACCTCCCCAATCTGCCATGACGAAGCACCGCCACCTCTTCCACTACCTTCCTCACACCGATCCTCTCTTCGTTCGTTGTTAGAAAAACCCTATCCAAAGTTCCGCATAAATTAGTGAAATCGATGGTCCCTATGGTGTCTGCATATGTTTTGACCTCGAACCTCCTACCTCCAGCCTAGGATTACCTGATGGCCCCTGTCGAAATCTTTGTATGTGGTTTTGTTATTTGGATTTAGATCTACTTATAATATTCGTTTTTCTTCAAGTTTATGATTAAAGGTTTATTTTGAATAGGTTCTTGATCTGATTGATTTTAACACTATTCGATTTTCAGGTATACCACTTATTTAAGTGGTGTTGAATAGATGCATAAACTATGTGGTTTTCAAACTGTGTCTCTGTAAGACCTATTAAACTATGTGTGTGTATGGTGAAAAGTATGTGTATGGATATATGATCTATCTAATGTATATTTTTGTGTAGAATTTAGATATGAACATATGTTTTCTTTGAACTTGCTGTAGAAAAGATTTTGAAACTGCATAAATAGGTGTTCCTAGAAGAAGTGGACAACATAAAAGGAAGATTTCTTTAAAGATAGAGTATGTAGCTGAGTATGGACCAGAAAAATGGAGTACAATTCTCAAAGCATTCCAATATCAACCTAACGTTGAAGTGATTTTTTTTTATGTACACACTGTTGTAAATGGATTATAAGATCCAATTTGATAGGAAACATTGACTAGGATAAATGGAGAAATATGAAGTTAGCGTGTATTGGGTATGGTCTTCTGGTACTTCCAAAGGATATAATTGTTAATGTGTTAAGTATGGAATATTGGCATTGGCATACTTCTGTTTGGAAGGTACAATAAAATGTAAAAATCACCATTATATAATGTATCATATTGCAATTTTTTTTTTTTGCTTTCTATAGCAGCATACTTTCTTTTTCTTATTTTACAATATTGTAGTTTTTTGGTATATTCTAATACTTAAAAATCTAACCTTCAAAGTTTGTTTGTTGAGGATTGATTAAATGTACTTCATTTTAACCACGGGGTATGAAATTGAAGTTCAATTTATTAAAATTCAAACAAAACTTGCTCAACCGATGAGTTTATGTTTAAACTGCAAACGTTGAGGGGTCTATTTTAAATGTTTTAAAGTTGAGGAACTAATTAAAAAATTATTGGGTTATTTGCAGTTGTTTCTAGTGAGCAATATGCTCTTAATGGCAGTATATTGCAACCGTGTTTAGGTAATTTGGTGTTCCTTCTTGGTACTGATCCATAAGTATAATTTTAACCCGTGTTGTGTAATAAAAGATGATGAATTTGCGTTATATTGGAAAATTGTGTGCATAATATCTCTAAGTTTTGCTCTTTCTCAAGCCCCTCTGATTAGTTCTTCTTCTATTAGCTCCTTCTAAAGATTGGATTCAATTAGATTCTTAGAGTAGGTATAGGAGAGAGTAGAGTTAGGTTTATGTATTGAGGATTGGTTGTAACTTGGAAAGAAATTGGTCATTAATAATGACTGTTAATGTTGTGACTCAACTTGTTTTACGTATTTGTTCATTAAACCTTCCAAGTTTTGATTAATTTGTTGACATATTACATTGGCTGAAAAAGAAAATCTCATTAATGTTTTTTTAGGTGATGGAACAATTTTTTTTAGCGAAGTACTCAATTTACAAATATGGGGTAGAAATCATGGAAATGCGCTTTTTTAATTAGTGGTGTATAAATATTAGTATGGAAAATAGGAAACCCTGCAAAAAGCAACCACTATCTTATGTATGAATATTTTTTTTTTTACATCAAATTCAGTTTCTTTTTCTTTTATATAATACTATGATTCTTAGATTAGGTTCTTGGCGATGAACGAATATATCTTCTTATAAAAATTTGATTGTAAACCATGTCAAATGGAGTTTTAAGATTTATAAATGAGATTATTGTTAACTATTTTAAATTTTTTTTATTAACAAACAGTTTCGAGTTGGTTTTTAAACATCACATTAAATATTAACATCTTAAAACATTAAGAATATCTAACAAACTTCATGGATGCGAGACTAGACTAAATCTTAGAATATTTGTATTTGTATTTAAGAATATTATTGATTGAGAATTTATAAATTCTCTATTTATAGAAAATAAAAAAAAATATTATTTTTATTAGCGTAAACCTCAAATATGGTCTTTACGGTTAGTAGGCTTCCTTTGGTTAAATTTAAAATATTATGAACTTTGTAAAATGCTTATCAACAAAATCTTGAACTGATTTTCCTTTTCGTAATTATTCTCAAATACCACTTATTGAGTGATAACCGAAGTAAAAGCCTTTTGGTAATTAAGCATCGTAAGGACACTGTTCACCGAACGAAAAACTATTCACCGGTTGCCGAACGAAAATAATCACCAAAATAAAAAAAAATCAATCTTGATTGCATTACTCTCACTTTTTTCACAACCCTATAAAATAATCGCAAAGTAAAAAGCAGGGCATTAGAAGACACCGAAAATGAAACTAATTGACCATAGTGCTTACGTACCTAGCTAGAAATTGTTCGCTGAAAGCAATTGTCCAACACAAAAGAATCTACCAAAAGGGAAAAGGAACTATCCGACACAAAAAGAAAAATAATTGTTGAATGGAAACTATCCGCCGTAAGAAACTATATCACGTCGCTGCATGGCGCGGGTACCCCACTAGTATATATATATATATATATATATATATATATATATATATATATATATATATATATATATATTAGTATTTGACAAATCACAAATTGATGGTTTAGTAATATTGGTTAAAAAACAATACAATGTTCAAAGTCAAACAAGAAATATATCATAAACAAATTTAGTAATATAACATACATTTTAATAAGCTACATTGCCAGCTCCTGTAGGTAATACAAATAATGAATGAAATCGCATAGCATGTCAACATCCACCTATAAATGTAATCGATATCCAAAAATTTGGATATCTGAATTTTTGGATAGTCGACCGGATATCCGAATCCGTATCTAAAATTTCGGACACATGATCGATTCAGATATCCAAAATGTTTGTGTTTTTTCATCAATCTAGATAAGTGGAGCAACATTTGACTAATAATCATCTAAAAGCATCTTATATTTACATAAAATTTTCTTACCAAAACATAAAATAGAAAAAAATACGAAAGAAATCGACCAACTTGAGCAATATACCGTAGGAAGAGATGATTGTTTAATGTTTTTATTCTCTTGCTCCATTGCTTAATAGTACCAACCATAAGAATTCTTTATATTTTCCTATATGCAGAATAAACAGTGATAAACTCTGCATACATGAATGAAATGTAATAAATCATCACAAACTGGTCATCCGGGACTTGGTTGAATCAACTGAGCAATAACATATTCCATTTACTTAAGGTGATAAAGTTAAATACATATTTCATTTTGATCGATCATATTCATTAATTAAAGTTACTATGTTAGCATTCAAACAACAAAATACATAATTATTAATTATGTTATTTATATAAAATAATAAACAATAAAATTAACTGATTCCTAATTAGTATAATATAGCCTTTTTGTTTACAAATAACAAATACAACAATAAAAGTACATGTCTTTTTGATTTCCTATATTACTACGAGTTTTGCAGAAAGTACTTTTTTTCGATCAATCATGTTCAAAACAAATTCTTCCATC